CACGTCGTCGCGCCGGCTGACTAATGACATGTTGACACGACCCACGCGCGCGTAAAATAGAATGGCACTGCTTATTTCCAAGGGAAGTGTCGGGAAGTGGTTGGGGTCGGCGGCGGCGCGACGCGGCGGGGGGCGTCGCCCCCTCTGGGCGGCCGTATAGGCCCTCCGGGTGACGGCGCCGTCAGCGCCGATGAGGGTGAGGACTTTGGAGGGTGATGGCGAGTGAGACATGATGGAGACACCGGAAGCAACTACTCCAGCATTGATTCGAGAATTGATCTCCCTGAATATGTTTAAAACGAAAGGTTCGGCCACTCATACTAGTATGGTTCTGTATGCGAAATTGCGATGGTATTTTTGTTTTCCATCGTTCTCATTAGGCTACTTCCAGATAGAGTCCCACTGTAGGACTCTACTTCCAGAATGTCCCCCGGCCTCTGAGCAGACAGACGAACGCGGACGCCCCCAGACGGGTCGGTCGGAGACTGCCTCTTATTGATGACCTCTGACGATTATTGTTGAGTGTGAGGGCCCGGGCGGGGCGGGGCGGGGCCCAGCGGGCCACCTCTGGGGCCACACCAGTCGCTGCTCACAGTGTGGAGCCCACCGGGCCGGAATGGATGGACAGATGTCTCGCGCCCGCGGCCCGCGGTCGAGTAATGGTCCACCCGGCGAGGAGCAGCGACCGGAGATAAAACTACCACTCGATGTGAATTTCGTCCCGTCCGACACGAGCGGTAGAGTACGAAGTTCGGAAAACTTTCGGCGTTATTAAGCGGTGGATTCGTCATCTGGTGTAATGGCCCATTTATCACAAGCAGAGAACAATATCGATGGGAATAATGCAGGGAGTGATGATATCTCGAGTGTCTTCGGCTCGCCCTTGGCTTGGCCGGGCCCGCGCCGCCGGACTGGTGGGCAGGCCCTTACGGGGAATCAATCTCGGGCGCGAACGACGGCGGCACGGGCGCAGCGCCCTGCAGGTCGACGGGCCCGGCCGAGGAGATACGTGGCTGCAGCGCAGGGCGTGGCCGCGGCGCACGCAGGGCTGGGCGGGCGGGGCGCAGGCCAAGGGCGGGAGAGAGAGGGTTACGGGAGGAGAAAATGACTTATCAATGAGGCACGCTCGGCCAGGCCGCCGCCCGCAGCGCGTGCGGACGTCGCGTCGCGAAGGCATGCCTGGACGACGCCGTCGTCCTCCGGGCTCTATCTCAGCGCACAGCTGCTCTGGCCGTCGCCGTCGAGGGCCTCTCTTCTTCCTGGCTTTTCCTAACCCCCCGACTCGACTTGACCTCGCTCGTCCGATACAGCCGCGCGGCAGGCGGGCGGCAGGGGCGGCGGCACCGAGGTCCGTGTGCGTCTCTCCGCGCCGAGTCAGCGGTCCCTCCCCGCCGTCTGCAAGAAATCGCCTGCCCCCAGTCGTGGCCTAGAGAGGGTCGCTCTCTGCTGGCTCTCTATTTCCCTCTCTCTTTCTCTCTCGCTTCCGCACAATCTCTGGCCACCCGCATGATCGCCCGCGCCCCTGACTGGCTCCCCGACACATCGGCCCCGTGGCTCTGATACGATACGCCCGATCTGGTCCCCAGTGTCTGCGCCTCGACTCTCACCCTCCGCCGCTGTCAAACCCACCCCAGCAGCGCTCCGCAACTGGGGCACCAACACACACACACACACACACACACACACACACACAGTGCGAGAAGGCGGCTGTGGGGCGGAAGGCGCGCATAAATTATCGCCTTATTTGTCGCCTGGAGGCGTATGTAGCTTCTTCTTCCCCCTCCAGATCCCCCTCTCTGGAGCCGGCTGCTGGAGTGTCTCCTTGAGGGTTTCCAGGAGGAGGAGAAGTGCCGACTTCTGCTCGAGCTTCTGCTCGTGCGAATACAAAAGCGGTGGCGCCACCCCCGCGAGGCCGACTACTACACCGTGCACATCCTGGAGATGATTTATCGCTTTTCTTACACGCGCGACGCGGTTACCTGTAACAACCCATATCGTCCTGGCCCCTGACCCTCTCTCTTACCCGCGGCGCGCCGCCCTTCTGCTCGGACCGAAATACACCGCGGCACGCTCGATCACTCAACATCGATCAGGGTATCGGATTGGGCGCTGCGATGACACTCCGTACAAGGGCCCCGTACAAAACACGCGTGTCCGAATAACGTCGAGGGGCGAGCGTCGTGGCGAATCGCGCCAGATTCGAATCACGCGATAATAAACTCGACGCAGGTTATTCCCCGGCGTGAGTGTCGGCCCATGTGTGGAGCGGCGGGGGAGGGG